GGTGCAGTCCTGTTGGCTGGCCAGACAGCAGAGCCAGCCCAGGAAGGGACACCTGGAGGCTGCATGGGCTGCTGAGGCTCAGAAGAGTCAAGCTAGGCAGGAAAGCAGTGGAATACGGCACAAGTGTGCCTGTCACTCTGCCTAGAGGGATGGATGACAGATTAACTCAAATGCCTCTAGCACTCCAGCCACAGATACACTCAGTGTGCACAAAGAGGGGATGCCTCGACCTCCAGTTCCTCCCCATTCAGACCACACAGTCACAGCACTCCTAATGCATCACAAGGCCAAAACTTCTGCAGACAAGAAATCTGGCTGCTAAGCTGGCATTGCAGTGTGACTACCTTTGCGTTTCCACCCATAGAAGGTGGGAGGTAATAACATTACCTGAACTCACTGAGCATTTGGGGTAAACATTGAACACCAAAAACTGAAAGGACAGACTCTTTCCTTAAAAGAAGAGAGGAAAAGAGATTTGCAATTTGTTGTGATAATCATAAAAGTAAGTAACAAAATACTGTATTTTTGTGAAATTAACTGTTCATCATTAGTGAGTTTTCACAGTACTTAACTGCTTCCCTTGCTCCTAGTAAAACTATAAACACTCTGTGCAGAAGTCGAGAGAGGTATTTAGTGCAAGACCCAGGCTCTGTTTTTCTTTAACTGTTATAAACAGACATTTTAATTTCCAGTTCCTTCAGTATTTTATGCCCCGCATATGTTATAATTCAGTACCAAGGAGCTTTATGAGGTAACCCTTAGAACATTAGCAAGTTCCCATTTGGCTGTCAGCGCAGGCCTAAATAAAACTCAGGACTAATTTTAGCACTTAGTGGAATGTGCTACTAGAAAGAAAAGGTCAAATGTGCTCACAGGAAGGCAGTGCCAGTTCTTTTGGCTTGAACCTGTTTCTCCCTTGCAACAAGTGACACTTTCCTCCATCCATTCCTGTCAAGCAGAATAAATCAGAGCAGCAACATGTTTAAGAAGGAGGAGGAATTTTGTATACACTTGTAATGTTGTAAAATACTCCCTCTTCCCAAAATACATTCCAAACTATTCAGGGAGGAGAGGGGAGTGCACTCATACAGGACCTGTACAGTCTGTGCTGTCAATACTGCACACAGCATTCTCAGCCGATTCCAACATGAGACATTTCCCTTTTTGCAAAAAAAAGCCAAAAGATTTTTTCAGCAGTGCCCATTGCCCTTGCCCCAGTGGGAAAACTAGCTGCTCTGTTTCAAGCCTATGGAGGCAGCTGGGAATGTCCACTCACTCTGTGGAACTTTTAGCCTTTCTCCAATTTTTTAGAAGAATTCATTTTTCAAGGAGCAAAAAAATCACCTGTCTGCTCCACATGGTCCTTCAGAGAAAGTCTTTGGCTTCTGAAAGGAAAATACTTCCAACGCCTTTCCTCTCAATACTTGAGAGGGAATCTCTATCCCAGAAAATAATTTTTCTTCTCCAAGACAGAAAGAATCACTTGCCAGAACTAGTAGTTGCTCTCACAGGCTAATCAGACGTAATCTTCTCCCCATTACTAAGTTTCACAATAAATATCTCTGAATTTCAAAGGCATAATTCATAACGAGAGAGACAGTTACAGTTTGGAGACGAGCAATCTGAACAGCCTCTACACCCAAGCCCCAAGCTTGCTTTCTGAAGGCACTTCACCCTGCATCCCCAGAATACAAACAAATGTGGAAAATACTTATCTTGTGGAATATTGAGGCAAATAACCACTTGTGACATAGGGACTTTCTGACAACAGAAAAGCA